TCGTGAATGTCTGGGAATGACCGGTAGTAACCTTGCCACACTTCATCCAGGCATCTGTTTTGAGGGGGGGCAGTGGGAGGGGGCAGCATTGAGTGGGTGTTTCAGAATCTGCTCTTTATTCATGTCCTGCTTTTTTTGGTATCTAAGGATATATCTACACTGACTTTGGTCTGTTTACTCCATTCCCAGCACTGAGGCATTCCCATGGGCATGTTTTTGGGTAAGAGAAAAATTGAAGTGGGTGCAAGTAGGCAGTGCCTTTTTTTACAGTGGCAGCCTGAATCCAGTGTAGCTGTGCCCTACTGCTAGCTGATCTAGGTTTCACAAACACATACTTTAAAGGAAGGCACTGAGGAAACTGTCAGGGTGGCAATAATCTAAACCCAGACCCTTGCAATGTATGACTTGGAGCAGGTGAGAAGTTGGCTTCCACTTGTATTTTCTCTCTGTCATGACGTTCAGTGCTATTCTTTGATCTGGCCACTCTGAATGCGAGTAGAGAATGCATCGTTCTAAATATTAGGGTTGGAGGGCAAGTGGAAGCTAGTCTGCAGTACAAGCCAGTGTCTGTGTAGTACTTAAAATGTGTGGTCTCTCTCCTTTCAGGTTTCCTCGGCCTGTCACTGTGGAGCCCATGGACCAGTATGATGATGAGGAGGGACTGCCAGAGAAATTGGTCATCAAAAACCAGCAGTATCACAAGTATGTGCCTGCCTGAGGCGGGGAGCCCAGTGTTAGCTGTGAACTATAGGCCAGTAATTGCTGCATTAATCATAGGATGGGTGGGTGATCATAGGGTAGGAAAAGCCTCCCCATGCTGCTTTTGTAGATATGATTTCATCCCAGGAAGCAGAATACCATATTTGTCTTTTGCTGTGGAAGGCAGTGCTTTTAGGCTATTGCCATGCATGATTATCAGTCTCTCTCTATGGGCTTATCTGGCCACAGTAGCTGGTTATCTGAACAACTCAGATGTGAGCTAAATGAATGTCCTATCTCATTACATGGATGAGGACCGAGGCACAGACTTTGACTTGCTCAGGGTCACGAAGGTAGTCTAGAGTACGTGCTCAACACCTGGCTCATGGGCCAGCTTTTGCCTGCAGAGCCATGTCATCTGGCCTGCCAGGCTCACCATGAGCCTGAAAATTTGGTGATGGGGGAGCAGTGGCAGTGTTAATTGGTGCTCCCCTGCTGCCAAATTTCTGGATCTGTGGTGAGCCAGAAGATTGGATAGCATAGCTCTGTGTACTAGGTTGTGCGATCAGGGCAGTGCAAGGCTGGATCTGGCTCGTGGACTGGCCCATGCCACTCACCTGGCCTACCACTGGTGTAAAGGAAGCAGGTTATTGGACCTCAGTGCTCAGAGTCCCAAGTTGGGGCCTAACCTTTCTTTCCAGCAAGGCTCTAATAAGTAAGTTTTATGGCACTAAGTAATAAAGGCCCTATTCAGACAAACCTGCCCTGAAGTTTCTGTAACTTCAAGTGGCCATCACAGGAACAGAGCAAGGAGGCAGGATGTGATTAAATTGATTGACTCTGCTTTGTTTTGTGAATCCTTCACTGAGTCAAGACTTGTAGAAGCAGGAAGGCAATGCCAACAAAATCAGGCCTTTGAGGTTTAGGAGCTGTGTAGAATAAGGACAAGGCTTGTCATCTTAGGTCGAGTGAAAAGGAAGTATGTTTGGCATACTTCTGCAGTGGATCAGATGTAAAACAGGAGCATAGAATCATAGAAAATTATAGAATGTTCCTCTTCTATTCTCCCTTTTGCTGTTCTCGCTAACTATTGCATGCCTGTAGAAAGCACTACCTGGGTCCAGGCAACAGGTTTCTGCAAATAGTTTACACCTTCAGAAAAGAGTACTTGCACTGGTAAAGAGGCAGGAGTGACTGGTCTTCCTTTGTTTTCTCCCTTTGAAGAACCATGGTGATGTTCTCTGGAGATTTGACATGATGGTACTTCAGACGGAAAAAGCACCTTTTAATTCAGTTTAGTGGGGATTCTCTTTCTTGTCCATGCTGACAGGATGGCAGGTCTCTAGATAAGAGACCTGAAGTGTTAGTGATCTAGCCTTTCTAAATGCTGAATATGCTGTTGCATTTATTCACACCCTGTAATTCCCGCATTGGTACAGTCTCTGCTCAAACATCCAATAACTTCTCTCCACCAGGGAGCGTGAGCAGCCTCCTCGGTTTGCACAGCCTGGTACCTTTGAATATGAGTATGCCATGCGCTGGAAGGCTTTGATAGAGATGGAGAAGCAGCAGCAAGAACAAGTAGACCGTAACATCAAGGAAGCACGAGAGAAGCTGGAGATGGAGATGGAAGCAGCTCGCCATGAGCATCAAGTTATGCTCATGCGGCAAGGTGAGAGCCAAGACCCGGCAGTAAGAGAGCAGTAAAATGCTGACACGAGGCACTTGGTTGGATCTTCTCTGAGAGCCAGGAATGTCAGTTTGACACTAGTTAGGCTAGGACATGACTGACTGACTAACTTGTCAGACAGTCCTTGATGAAGTCAGTGGAGTTGCAGCACTGAAGAACTAGCTTCTCTTCTACCACCTCTTTAAGGTGGCATACAGCGCCAAATAGAAACCAAGTCATAAAATGAGATTCAGGCATGGAAGTGGGACATAACATTGCTGCATCTCCTGTCTGCAGACAGAAGGAACAGCAGTTGACTAGGGTGGGGATTTTGACTTTTGCTGTTACCTTTTCCAGATTTAATGAGACGTCAGGAAGAACTGAGGAGAATGGAGGAACTGCATAACCAGGAAGTGCAGAAACGTAAACAGCTGGAACTCAGGTAAGGGGCAGTATTGAATTCAGCGAGCCCGCCCTGGAAGGGTTCGGCCACTCTTGCTCAGAACTGTTGGGTGCACCAGTTGGGCAGTACTTATAGTGGCCATCATTTTGGTCATCTTTGTCCAAGTGCAAGTGTTTTTAGGGTGGAGGATTTTGGGGTCTATACCAATGACCTTGAGAGTCAATGACTAGTATTTATTCTTTCCCTGATAGACCTTGATTTGGCTGCTTGACTTCTGGGGCAAATGCAAAAGCCAGTGATCCTGAGCTCCGGAGTTGTTGGTGGGAATATTGCTGTCTTAGCTTTTGCCTTCCCAATCTCCAGATCACTTTTGGAAGCTTTCACACAGGTCTCCCGTTCCATTTCTGCTGTGTTGTTTGATTCTTGGACATTTTGTGAAATGCTAGGAGCCATTGCTCTGTGGAACGTGGCTTGAGGATCACCTGGCTAGTGTTTCACAGTTCCATGTGGATAGTCTTTCTGTGGGAGCTGCTAGATACTGGGGCCTAATATAAATGGGCCCTTTTCTAATTAACTCATTAGAATTGAAATAGATTGGAAATTGCTCAGTGCTCACAGAAGTTACTGTTTTTTGTATTGTGAAGCCTAACCTTGCACTGGCTGGGCAGGACAGTATCCTTATGTATACTATCAGGCAGCTGCATACTCTAGCATTTCACACTGATGCAGAGAATTTGGCTTAGGCTGTGCTGAGTCTCTGGAATGCTCTCCTTGCAGGCAGGAGGAAGAACGCAGGCGCCGTGAGGAGGAAATGAGGAGGCAGCAGGAGGAGATGATGAGGCGTCAGCAGGAGGGCTTTAAAGGGAATTTTCCTGATGCGGTATGAGTTCTTCCTGCCTTCACTTCCTATCTTGGTGCTGCTAGTGAGATGCTGCCCAGATGCAGTGCAGGGGCTTCTGTCAAGTGTTCAGAGTATTGGCTGCGGGACATTTACTAATCTGTTCTGCTCCAGATTACAGAGCACTTGCAGCCTTAACTTGATTTTAGTATAGAATAAACATACAGAAATCCACCAACTGCTGGGCAATATGCTTTCCTCCCACTGTCCAGGTGGAACCCACAGTGTGTCACTTTGCTCTGCAGAAGAGCACATGTGCTAACTAGGCCTATTCTCTGAGCAACAGTTGAAATGCAGTTCCTTATTATGATTTGCATACCTGGCTATGATAGCACTATCTTGAAGACAGGTGCGTTGTCCTGTCAGTTTGAACATTACTGACTTGAGGGACTTTGCAGGCCTGGCAGTGTGATTGTCACTGAGAATAAATGTTAGTCAAGTTACCACCTGCTAGTATTTGATACCTCAGCTTTTCCCAGTTCTTAGAGTAGGAAACATATGAGATAAAAAAAGACTTAAAAAAAAAAAAAAAGAAATGATAATTCAGTGATAAGGCTGGATATTTCACAAATCAACAGGGCTGCAAAAAAACTACTGGGAATCAGTGACTCAGAGATTTCATAGACATTAGGGCTGGAAGGGACCTCGGAAGATCATCGAGTCCAGCCCCCTGCCCAAAGGGCAGGAAGTCAGCTGGGGTCACAGGATCCCAGCAAGATAAGCATCCAGTTTGCTCTTGAAGGTGTTCAATGAAGGTGCTTGAACCACCTCCAGTGGCAGGCTGTTCCAGACCTTGGGGGCTCGGACAGAAAATAAATTCTTCCTTATGTCCAGCCTGAAACGATCTTGTAGTAGTTTATGACCGTTCGACCTAGTCGTCATCCCTTGGGGCGCTCTGGTGAACAAACGTTCCCCCAGATACTGGTGGTCACCCCTGATAAACTTATAGGTGGCCATCAGATCACCCCTGAGCCAGGACTCAATTCCAGTCCTGGCGTTTTGTAATATCGGGTATCACAGTTGCATTCCAGAAACCACTTGGTTTTAGTCTCTTATTTCTGATAACAATGGGAGCGAGGAATTGAAATCATTGCCATGCCATAGAAGGGTTTGGTATCTCCTTTCCCATTGTATTATATAGAAGGATTGTCAAAGATTAGGCTAGTGGACTTCATCCATTCTACTTGAAGTGTTTGTGGTTTGCTTGGTATCCAAATTCATATGACGTTTCTGTCCCTTTTGTCCCATTTAGTTCCATCTACTATAAGCTCCTTGGGATAGGCCAGGTTCTGGGTTCTTTTCAGTTTTACCCATATTTTTAGTAATTGGTAATAGATAAATTTGTCTTTCCCGCGTTAGAAGGTTACATTGAGTTTAATTATCTTGGTATCAAGGCACTGTTACTTTGGACTAATATCATACATAGTTTGTACTATATTTAAATAGGTACAAAAGTGTGTTCATGGAGTACCTGTGTTAAAACTTGCAGCACTTCCAGAAAAGATGAAATGCATTATTCTGGATGAACTAAGTCTGTGGGTATATTTATGCAAATGACTACAGGCACATTTATTTTTTTAAAAGTCAGCATTTTCAGATTTTACCCCACTTCCACGTGCTTAAGAAGAGCAAGGTCTGGCACTCCTTCCTTTTTCTTGTCTTTGTGCAAGACGGTATTTTGCAGAATTCACAGATTCGTTGGAATCTGGCAGGGCTGTGCTGTGGGTGCTGCTGCTCTAGCCTTGAATTTGCAACCTTTGAGCTGTCAGTTGCGCGCCTTAGCACCTGTGCCACCCCAGACTGGTCTGTAAGAGGAGGGGAAGGAGCTGCAGGAGGAAAAAGTTGGGGTGACACCTGGAGGACAAATTCAAGGCAAACCAATAATGAGATTCTATACCTAGAAAATTATAATAAATTTATAAATGTTCTATCTATAGAGTCTTATTACTGGGGAGTTGTCTTATATGCAGGGTCATGTCATATTTGAGTAAATATGGTACGTCTCTATGGAAACTTTATAGGTTAGGTGTAAGTGTGTTCACTGGACCTGATCAGCAGGGATCCTGGTTTTTTCTGATTTAAAAAAAAATCCTAATTTTCAGATTTAAAAAAGTAACCCCAAATCCACATTTTTCCATGATTAAAATGAAACACCACTAATGTAGAGATGTGTGTGTGTGTGTGTGTGTGTGTGTGTGTGTGTGTGTGTGTGTGTGTATATATGTATAGTGTGGAGGGGGGTGTATATGTATAGTGGGGGGGTGTAGGTGTGTGTATCTATGTATAGGGTGTGTGTGTATGTATGGGGGGGTGTGTGTGTATGTATGGGGGGGTGTGTGTGTACGTATAGGGGGTGTGTGTACGTATAGGGGGTGTGTGTATGTATAGGGGTGTGTGTGTATGTATAGGGGGTGTATGGTGGGTGTGTGTATATGTATGGTGGGTGTGTGTATGTATAGGGGGTGTGGGAGTGTGTATGTATAGGGGGGTGTATACGTATAGCGTGTGTGTGTGTGTGTGTGTGTATATGTGTGTGGGGGGGTGTATATGAATGAACAACATCAGTTCAGATTTTTTATTGGTCCCAGATGTACACAGGAAATAGAATGAAACTTACTTTTTAAGCTTCTTTTTGCGAGTTGGAACTGCCAGTAGACAAAGGAGGCACTGTTGGATTTGTAGCAGAGTAGCTCCTGCTTTTACAAATACAGGCAACCACTGCTTAGCACTCTTAATTGGTCTGGAAAAAATGAGCATTAAGTGATTCATAGATTCACAGATGCAGGGTTAGAAGGGACCTGAGCAGATCATCGAGTCCAATCCCCTGCCCTGGGCAGGAATGAATACTGGGCTTATATGACTCCTGGTAAGTTTACACTAATATGACCCCAGCTAGGTAATTATCAAGCCTCCTTTTAAAGACCCCTAAGATAGGAGCCAGTATCACTTCCCTTGGAAGCTGGTTCCAGATCCTAGCCACCCTGACTGAAGTAGTGCCTCCTGATGTCTAGCCTGAACCTGCTCTCTATCAACTTGTGGCCGTTGTTCCTTGTTACTCCGGGAGGTGCTTGGGGGAACAGGGTCTCACCCATTCCCCTCTGGTCCCCCTGGTAAGTTTATAGACAGCCACTAGATCCCCTCTCAGCCTTCTCTTGTGAAGGCTGAAATAGCCTCTCCTCGTAGGTCCTGCCCTGCTGCCCCTGCCCATGCGAGTGGCCCTCCTTTGGACCCTCCCGATGCTGTCCACATCCCTCCTGAAGTGCGGCGCCCAGAACTGGACGCAGTACTCCAACTGCAGCCTGACCAGTGCTGCATAGAGGGGGAGGATCACCTCCTTGGCCCTACTCATGATGCATCGGTGGATACATGACAAGGTGCAGTTAGTCTTACTGACCGCGTCCTCACATTGGCGGCCCATGTTCATTTTAGAATTGATGATGACTCCAAGATCTCTTTCTGCCTCTATGCTTTATAGAGTGGACCCATGCTAAGTGAAACCCATTTCCCCATAGGAATAAATGTAAATAGAGATAATTGGTTACCACCATTTCTCATCGCTGCCTCTCCCTACTCCCCCACCTGTCTGCTGGCTGCTCCAGCCTCGTGCTAGCCCAGGCCCATGCTCCTGTCCCACCCTGCCAGCCCTGGCCCCGGGCACCAGTGCAGCCCCTGCACTCATGCCTACCCCCTGCTGGCTTGTTCTCCCCCCCGCTGCCTCTCCCCACCCCCTTGGCCACTCTGGCCCCATGCTCCTGCTCCCCCACCCTGAGCCCCTACTGGTGCGGGCCCCGCACTTACTCCCACCCCTCCCACTCGCTGCCACCGCCACTGCTTCTCCCCACCTGCCTGTCAAAACTCACTGATTCCACTGAGTGCTGTGAGCACTCAGTGGAATCGGGCATGAATTTTAAATGAGCACTATAGCGAAATAGCGCTAACCAAAACTGTTAAGCGGAGGTTGCCTATGCAGTGGTGTCCTCCTGCTCGACAGCAATAATAAAAAAGGACTGTCTTGCTAACTATCATCTCTCTGTAGGGGACACCACAGTTGTGTCACTTCTCGGCCTTTGGGCTCTGATCGGCATAGTTTGTGCATCTGCATTCCTTTCCATAAGTACACTTTCCTGACCTTGCTGATATGGTATTGCAGCTGTTTCTGACAGACCTCTCCACCAAGGCACTGGCTCTTCTTTATGTCAATGCTCTTGCTTAAATATGCACATGTTACTTTGTATCTGATGTTGGATGTTGTGCAATGCTTGTGGCTAACTGTTTTGCGGAATGAATTATGTGAAGTGAAGTCCTGTTTGAATAGTTAAGAGTGGGTTGGAGGAGGGTCTTTCTTCAGGGCTTGTCCTAAAAGCATCCGTTTCCAGGTCTTCACTGATGAGCTCATGGAGGTTCTGGCTTTGTCAAGTTATATAAAAATATCTGTAATGCTGTAATGTAAAAATAGGTGCCTCTTTTTCAGAGGGAACCACCAGACATGCGGATGGGACAGATGGGCATGGGAGGTAAGAGTTTTCTGACTTTCTTTCTTCTGTTTCTTTGTATATTTAGTTCCCCTCTCTCTAGACTGGAATGCTCCAAGAACAGGTCTAATTACTGGCTCCGTGTTTAGTGTACTTGGAAACTTGCTTTCTATTTCGTTGGTGGCTGTTCTCGTACTATGTTCTACAGAAAGTTAGTTTTAAGAGCATTTAGCATTTACATTGGACTGAGTGAGGCGTATTTGGCAAGACGTGAAAGAAGTTAGACATAAATGAGATAATAGTATGTGTGGATAGTGCAGCTCCTTCAGCAGAAGATTCAGGTGAAATTGCCAGAAGGCCTGTAAGGAAGTCAGGACTACCAAGCACACTTATCTCTAGTTTACAGACTGCTATAACATGCAAGACTGAACTATGGAACAAAGTCCAGGCTGGTAAGGAGTACAACCCCATGATGGCATTTTGGTGTTGGTTTTGCAGCCTCAAGTTTTGGCCCCTGAGACAGAAGTATTAGGTGGCTAATAGATGCTGAAATATGATTATGACCCTTGGAATACCGCTTGCTGCCCAGATTGATTTTTGAGAAGGGGAGTACCCACTAGCACATTTGTAAGGCTGCCTGGTTGAGGATTCGGTCTTTGGGATGTGCTTCTGCAGGAAGGCTGCATGGGCCGTGTGTCTGTCCAGTGTAATGGGGGGTGGTCCTTATTAGGTCTGTCAGGAATATTCTTCAATTTCTTTCAGGTGCCATTGGCATGAACAATAGAGGTGCCATGGGTGGCACCAATGTCCCAGCTGGTGCACCCCCGGCAGCTGGTCCTGGAGCCATGATACCTGATGGGGCCATGGGGATGGTAATGTATCTGCAGCATTGCCTTTCTAGCTACTCTCTCCCTGTGTCCTTTCTAAGTGAAGGGTGTTTTGCTTTCAATGTTAAGGGCTGTGGCATTAAGGTCAGGACCTGTTTGCCATGATATACCTGATCTTTGCTTTTTTTCAGGTCTTCACAAGTCTGTCTTGACATAAGACTTGCTGCACAGTTCTGAAGTGATTCAGTCTTGCTTTTTTGCTCTCATACCTGTAGAATTACTAGTTCTAAAAATTCACTTGAAAGAGATTGTAGCATGTGACCACTTAAAGGGGAAGGCATGTTTGGGAAGCTGTTAGTTGAACTCAAGTGTCTGGAGATCAGATTTCTGGCAGTCTATATGTATAGGCTTTTCAGTTGCTCTGCACAGCAGAGAACAGTGGAAAACCCCCTACAGCTTGAGTTATGGCTTAGACAGTAGTGAGCAAAGAACAACTAGAAACCTAGGCTTGTTTGTTTTTAACTCCTGCATGGTAGTAGCCTATCTAAAATATAAGATTGTGGTTTGGGGGGAGTGGAGAGGCTCTTGCTGACTTCTTTGTGGGGCAAGAGGAGGAGAGAGAATCAAACAAGAGCATGAATAAATTCTCTATGACAGCAGACAGGACTCTGATTTTATAATTTGCTGCTGGTAGAACCTGTCCTCCCTTCCACAACACCCCCCACAAGGATCAGGTGCCTGTGAGATTTTCATCCCTCTCTACTACCCTGTTTTACTTTACAGTTAGGGCTGCCAGGCTCTGGAATGGACTCCCAAGGGAGGTGGTGCTCTGTCCTTCTTGGGGGTCTTCAAGAGGAGGCTGGACAGATATTTGGCTGGGGTGTTATGACCCTGCACTTGTTCCTGCCTGGGGCAAGGGGTCAGACCTGATGATCTGTTTAGGTCCCTTCTGACCTTAAGGACTATGAAACTATGTAAGCTGGAGTGGGACTGGTGAGGGACCATCAGGGCTCCACAGTGAGTGTCACATCCACATAGTACCCTGACTTTGCTCCCCTCCCCAGCTATCCATAAATGACCTGGTAAAATGTGGTCCCTTCTCGGGTTTTGCTTCTTGCACTGCCAATGCATGTCACCTTAAACAGTTCACAATTCAAAATCCCAAAGAAATGCCACATACAGGCTTTGAATTTAAAGTGCATACCAGCAGTGGAAAGTTAGCGCATACCACCCAGCAGCAATTTAGAAGTAAAGCTGAAAGAAACCCATAGCGTAACTCTGCTTCTGTAGCAGTGTTGCAAGGAACTTCTTACCACTCCCTTAAGTTTTTATCTTAGCACTGACTGTGAAGTAGAATGCTTTGCTGCGAGTGAAATGAAAATGTGACTACACCACCTTTTGCCTTTATTTCATTGCATAATGCTACTAGATCACAAAAACACGCATGTTTGAAGTAGTATCAGAACCAGCGCATGGTGCCTGGGTGTTACTACCTTGGCAATTGTATACAGGTACTCCTCACTTAATGACCTACCTGTTTAATGACCGCGCGGACTTACGACCAGCGAGAACTGGTCGTAAGTACGAGAACTTTGGTCGTGGAAATGGCAGCGCGGCGTTTCAAGCCAAGGCACGTAGTATCAAGGGGCGGCTCCTCGCTTATCGACCAATTCGCTTAACGACCTAGTCGCAGGAACGGAACTCGGTCGTTAAGTGAGGAGTGCCTGTAAATGCATTATTGTTGCCAAACAAGATGTCCACAGCCTTTGTGTCTTGGTGTTTTAAAGCTCTTAGGAACATGATGCATGGAACAAATGGTTTTAGGCTTAGGTTGCTGTAGAGGCGCAGTTAAGTTCTTTGTTGAGTGTCTAAACTGCAGTTTGAAGCTTCTAGTTGTTAGTGTTTCTTAACTTTAATGGAGTCTTTGTATGGAGTATGTTCTTGGAAAGCAAAAGGGTGGGAATGGCGGTGACAAGTTAGACATTTACCTAGCTGTGTTTGCTTCACAGGAGACCATGGTTTCCTTCCATGTATTGCTCCTATCTGTTCTACAGGCCACTCCTCCTGCCTGAGGAGCACTATTACATCTACAGCTTGGGTGTTTCAACTGAGTTAACTTTTAGCCTGATTTGGAATCCAAAAATTTGACATGGCAAATAAGCCAATTTGCCCTATAAAGCTTGCAATCTAAGCCTGGAGTAGTGGCTGTTAGGGGAGGCACTGGGATGGTAAAGTCCATGCCATTGCTTTGATTGCCAGAGTCATATGTTGCTGTATTATCAGATGATTTGGGGTTTCTTATTTCAAATGATGATTATGCCTATGTAGATAAAGAGTGGGATAGGAAGGGATGAGGTTGGTGGATTGGATCAGGGGGAGAGCATGGATACAGTGGGGATGGGGGGGATAACATGGCAGGGACAGATTGAAAGGGTAGGTATTTAGGCAGCATAACGAAAATGGCCAAAAGAAGGTCAGGTGCTGTCTAATATTCGGCGCCTTTTCTGGTTGCTTTGGAGTCTGACTCTACTTACGCTGGCTGTGTGGTTGGTACTGGAAGTGGCTGGGGATGCTGCTTAAACTAGTGGGGAGAGAAGGGCTGTCTCACACCCACTCTGGTGCTGACGGGGTTTCCATCTTGCCCCGTGGTAACATGTCTTGCAGGACAGAATCAAGGCTTCTCCAGAAAACTTCTATGTGGGGGGAGGGAAAGGATGGACTGCTACTGTTTTGCTACCTGTATTTGCGTATAAATCCTTTATGACACTCCCAGCACGTATGAGGGTACAAAACCCTCTGCTCACTCTCTTCACAAAGCTTAATGATGATTTGGGCTAGGTGTCCTTGCTGGGTGTTCAGTTCGGGGAAGCGCAGTGGAATCATGAAGTTCTGCTTCCTAACTGCATTTTTCTCGCGCTCCACTGCAAACCTATAGGTTTGGGTAACAGTCCTGCCATGTGGCTGTTAGAATTGCAGACGCAGAGGTGGATTTTGTGGGGAAGCAGATTTGTTCCTATGACACAGTTGTGCGCCTGTCGGTCCAGTCTTGGTTTGGGAGACCCTTCAGCAAATCTGGGAGAAGTGTTTGCCCCACAGGGGCATCTGAAGTTGCTGCCTTCCAATGGCCTTGTCTGGAGCTGATAGGTCACTTGGGGCTGTGGAGTCCTGATGGGACTCGGGTCAACTGGAACTGCTTCTAACTTAAGTCTTTTCTCCTTTCTGCCTGTTCTGTGCTCTCACCCTGTCCAAGACTCCACCACCGCCTGCTGATCGCTTTGGCCAGGGCAGCGCAATGGAAGGACTTGGAGCTATGGGAGGAAACCCGCCTGGCTTCAACAGAGGAAATCCTGGGGGGGAATTTGGTCCTAACAAACGTCGCAGATACTAATAGGATTAAGCTACCCCCTACCGACACCCCAAAGAGGAAAGGAATCTTGGCAGGCCATGCAGGGTTCTACTTGGGTGGGGGGAGATTCTTCACAGTAGTTTAATTAGGGCCTGCCTTGGCAAAGCCGCTCTAGGGACGGGGAGTGCAGTCTGACTGGTAAAGGTTCTAGTAAATTTTGTGTGGTGCATTCCTATAATTTCAATGTGAAAATGACTTCTGGGAGGTTTCAGTAGCTGTGCAGTAAAAGTAAGACCTGGCTAGGACCCTGATGCCTTTACCATTCCAAGTTTCCTGTATGCAGCCACAGCCCTGAGACTAACTTAGATACAGTTGAAGTATTTCTTAGCTTTCTTCTAGCCCAATACAGCTCCTCTGGGAGCACAGGCAAGTCTCTGGAGCATTAAGGGAGCACCCAGATATTTTGCAGACCCCAGTGACTCTGTAAATTTATATAGCTTCAAATGGCCCATCATGTAGTGAAACGGAAGGGTTTTATGTTCTTTTTTTAACTTGTAGTTTTTACTTTTTCTCTGGACCATCTCTTTCTTTAAAGTAGTTGCCCATCGTGTGCAGCCTGAATGGCTGGAAGGCTCTTGTTTGGATGGATCTTTTGGTATGTGTTGTACCGCTGTTTATTTTTACTGGTAGTAAAGTACAATCTATTGGACAAAAATACTGTATCTCATGCTGAAGACTTAACTGAAACAATTGTTTGTATAATCTTAACCTTGCCTGTCTTTTGTGTAGAAGTACTACAAGATTTTCATTTAGTGTAAACTGTTTGAACATGAGCTGTAATTGTCCCACTAACAAGTTTGAGTTTGTCTGAGGAATGTTACAGGAATGCATTATTAAAGTGGATTTTAAGCCTTTTTTATCTTGTGTGCAGTCTCTTCTGTTCCTGATTTTGAAGCTTCTGGGTATGTGCAGATTCAGGTAAATAAGCCCTCGGCTATTAGAGCAAAGTGCATTGGTCCACTTGCCTTCTGGAAGTAGCCACAACATGTAGGCACTGTTGTATAACCCTGAGGGTTCCCCAGTAGAATTCTCCTTGGTGTGTATTGGCTTTCTATTTACAGAAACTTTGGCATGTTTGGAGCCTTTCAACTTCACAATTTTGCCAATGTGCCTGCGGTAAGTTAGGGGAACTGTTTGTGCATCTATGAGTGTGTTTGCAGTTGCAGAGTAAAGTACTCCACACTGAGCTCCATGTGGCCCCATTTGACTGCTGCCAGTATTTGAGGTAGCTAGTTCAGAGAGAGCCCAGGAATCTCTGTTCTACCCTGCAGTTACTTCTGTGGCTGCAGTGCAGGCCTTCCCTAAAACTCTCCACTGGAAGTGGCATAACCACAACTGTCAGTTTATTGCCCCAAGTATAGACTTTATAAGAAAAGCTTCTGCTAAGATGTGATACAAGCTGGAGGCCGGAGTCTTCCGGGACATTGTGCTCTCAGGGTTAAATCCTTGTTCTCCTTTGTTGGCTGGGGAATAAATGGGTCTGTTCCAACAAGGAATCCTTCAGGTGGGGGAAAGAAGTGGGCAGCATGAGATCGCGTGTCATCGGTGTACAGAGTAAGGAGATCGGGACAGTTAATGCCTGGCCTAATGGAGGCAGTGGGGGCACCGTTTGCTTTGCGTTGTGGAAGATTGACGGAGGAGTCAAGCTAGGAGCTCTAGTGAAGACATACAGAATTCCCAGGGTACAAGTCATTTTGTTTCAAGGAAATAAGCCAGTCCCTGATGACTTGGTTAGCAAGGAACCTTTCCTGAGGCAGGTTACTCTAACCACTATTGCGTGGCTTCTTGTTCCCTCCTCTGAAATGTCTGGTAGCAATTACACAGGATTCTGAGGTAGATGGTCCCCTAGTCATCTAGGAGAGAGGGCTGTGTAGTGACAGCATGGTCTGGGGAGATGCCTGTATTCAGCCGCGGTAGTAGTGGGGTTGCTGTTTTCTCTTTTTGGGCGACTGTGGCATGGGGTGTTGGCAGGAGTGCTAACTGAGCTTGCCTTTGCTCTTGTGAGGACATTGGGATTGGAGTCTGCTGTGGATCTGTCCCACTTGTAGCTAGAGGGAGTGCAGCCTGAAGCCCTGGTGTGTGATCAGTACCTCCTACAGTTTCTGATTTAAGAACATGTAGAGCAAATGCCTCCGGAGCCAAGACTGGTTGTCAGGATAACTGTTCTCCCTCCCTTCCCCCCACTTCTCAGCTTGTTTGTTTGTGGCTGAGGAGCTGAAGCAGATGGGAGCTTGTTAGGAAAGCAGGGACAGACCTAGCAGTTAGCTGTGCTCTGACCCTTCCCTTATCCACATAATAATTCATGATAAGGATTGGGCTGGCTAGCCTCTTTTCTAAGAGTTAACGGGTAAAAACAGGGTTTGTAAGGGTGGCAGGGAAGGGGAGTGACTTTGCACAGCTCAAAGTTCATCTTTGTAAAACAGATTAGAGGAAAGGGTGTTGGGGGGAGTGTGACAGCAGCACGGCAAAAACTGCTCGGGTATGTATGTTTCTGAAGTAGGTTCATTTTTGTTTGAATACCTGTTTTTTTTAATGAAAGGTGGAAGGGCAAACTAAAAAGCTTTGTCATGGGTTCTTGTAAGAGAACAGTCAGGGAAGCCTGTTGGAAGGGTGGAGGGTGTTCAGATCCACTTTAGTGAGAAGAAGCAGTAATAGGTGGTATTGGGGAGAACAAGTGTCCAAGGGTGCCGTGCCTCGGACGGAGCGTGAGCACAGATGCCCCATACCATGTGCAGCTGCGGTGCTTTATTTCTTGTGAAGGTTCTCTGAACTTCAGGTTTATGCGAATAGGAATGGCAGCAGCTCCCATAGGGCTTACATTTTTAACTTAAGCTTAGCTATGCAACTTCTGCGAAGAGGCCTTCCAAGACGCAGGATTCTAAACAGCGTTTTTGTTTGTAATGAGCTAAAATCAATCCATGTGCAAAAGAGACCAGAGCATACTATACCTTTCAAGGTTACTAACAATTACACAACTGGATATTGCAGATGCAGCATTTTGACTTGTCTGGACTATATACATGGCTGTTCCATTACCTTCATATTTGACTGGTTCTTCTATTCTAAACTGATACCATATACAAAGGCTTTTTGTACTGGGCATTGACTACTTTTCTTGTTCAGAAACTACCAAGTTGCTTTATATAATTTTTGTGGACATTGATAGATGCGTAGCAGGTGTGTGTGTGTGTGTGTGTGTGTGTGTGTGTGTGTGTAAATCTACAGAATTAACTTAGATAATATTGTGACAAGCAAAGGAACAGGCACTATTTTCCCTTCTCCTTTTTGCTTTATAGCAGAGCTGTCCAACCTCTGAGTAGTCAGGTCCCCCCTCTGCCATATGTCTCCCTGCTCTCCTTGCCAGGCCATATGAGCTGCAGCATCCCACTGTGCCCTACCCTAGGGCTGGGGCAGGAATTAGAAGCGGAAGCTGGAGGAGGGAGTGGGAGCTAGGAGCAATGCAGAGAGTGATGCTCGGGTGGGAACCCATAGGCCACAAGTTAACCACTTCTGGGCTGTATGCCATTTGGACAGCCCTGCTTTACAGCATATTAAAGTCACCAGCTTTCATTGTGTTCTCTTCAACCATCTATAACTTGACTGCATCCCTACCCATACTTTTTTCTGGATTGTAAAAACAAGGAAACAGGTTGTTTTCCTACTTACTATGGTCTAATCTTTCTCTCTCCTAGCAAATGCTTGTTTCAGTTGAGCTTTGGAGTGGCCACACATTCACTTTGAGTGGTGCCTCCAGCAGTGGGTTTCCATGCTTGTTTTTCTTTGGCAATGAGACAAGCAGAGCTTCGGGATGAGGAGTCTTGCTTGTCAGAGGAATAAACTCTAGCCTACTTTCTGTTTAGGACTGAAGTTTCACATTCTTGTAGAAGAGCATTATGTGTGTTTCTGGAGAGAGAGCCACCAGAGTAAAGAGTTTCCAGTGCTGCCTTGCCAGTTGAGTTTGGGGGTGGGGGTGTCTCAAGTCACAGACAAAAGGAGTTCGTTGTGGCACAGAGTTCCTCAGCTTTGGTTTTGAGCCTTTAGTACTGATGCGTCTTTTAAGTCTGTCTTGTGCTTGACATACTACTTAAGCTATGGAAGGAAGAACAAATTACATCTCCTGGTACCATGGTGGTGGGGTTTGCCTTGAAACTACTGATTTCATATTGGCTGTTGGTAGCAGCTCAGCATCCATTACCTTGCACAGGGGAGATCAGGTACAAATGTCTATTCTTGCGTGGTAAAAGAGTGCTTGCTGTCTTGTGCAGGAGTTCCTCTACCCTTAGAGCTCTCTTAATTTCAGTCTGTGGGCTGGGAAATCTCAAAGCTCTGTCTCCAGACACAGGTTTGTGGTTCCAGGTCTGTGAAGGCCCATCTTAAATAAGGTAGGTTTCAAACTGGGCTGAGGGCATCCCAAGATATCAGCCAAGCTCTGCTGGAAGCCATGACCATGGAGCCATTTGTCCTGGTTGCTCCCCTGTGAGATTCAGCGTGTTCTTGAAAGGGTGAGAACAGCATACAGCTGCATCCTGCTGACATCAAGTATTAGGTCAATGTTATGTACTTTATGCTGTTGGGAAGACCAGATGAGGAACATTCCTTCCTTTTTATATCTGCTGTGCTCGTCATCTAGGATTGGAACTTGTCAAGCTATAATTTATAATTCTAGAGGTGCAGAATACAGAACTAGTATGGAAATAAGTATCCTTGAGCTGAGTGGCTCTCTGAGTGGCCTGCTAGAAGAGTGTTAATTCTCATATACTGTTAGCCATATGACTTCCATATATGGGGCTTTCTGCTGCCCAGGTGGTACAAGAAAATGCTTCTCCCTACTGGGTCCCAGAGATAGCTCTCTCTGATTTTCAGTAGCCCAGTTGTATTCTTTCTGTCATCTTTTCAATGATGGATCACTCTCATGATCAGCATATTTCATTTAACGAAACAACTGGTTCGAGCTGTTTCTCTTGCTTCTGTATCCTACACTTTGTCCTTTCTGTAGCCTTGGGCTTTATCCCAAATGGTTGCCTGTCATAGATGTCTTTCTCAGATGTCAAGGCATCCATGCCTATATTCCTGTCAACCTGGGCTCTCAAAAAGTTGTATACATTGTCCCAGTCCTGGGTGCTTTTTGTATGTTTCATAGTTTCATATGTGAAGAAGGAGGTGCTCTCATTCCCAAACAAAACATTGCCTCCTTTTGAGGTTTGTCAAGGATCAACGTGCAAAAACCATCCTGCCAAGAGTGGCTCCTTACCAGTACAACTAAGTGATGTCTTTCATCAGGCTACATCAGAGGCCTTTGTGCATGCACCCCCGGGGGAGGCATGTGGGGCATGTGCCCCCTGGACTGTGCTCAGGGTGAGGGTGGGCTGCCTGCTGTGGGCTCAGGGCCAGGGGCTGCACCAGCCTCTTCCCAGCAGCAGGACTGTAGCCAGGGCAGGGCAGGTGGCAGAGCTGGGAAGGGTGGTTATGGTAGATTTTGGGGTGGCTCTAGCCCACCCTGTAGCCCTCCCCTCTCCCAGTGCCACCACCGCCTGCCCCAAGCCCAGCCCCCCGTGTTGGGAAGAGGCTGGTGCAGTCCTTGGCCCTGAGCCTGCAGCAGGCAGCCTGCCCTTGCCCTATACACAGATCTGGGGGGCATATGCCCCTCCATGCCTCCCCCAGGGGTGAGCACAATAGTGGGGAGCACCCCCCCCAACTGCATTCCTGGCCGTGTGCATGCATGCAGCATTTATCAGTGATGTTATTAGGTACACCGGCCAAAAAAAGCCGATTGTCAATAATGTTAATTTTCCTTTTATTGGTGTTGATATGATATACAACTGATGTATCTGCACCTCTAGTAACGGCTGTATTTTGTATGCACTATATTCAATCTAGAAAAAGTATTCCTTTCTGTATTCTCATCCTAAATCCAATAG